AAAAAGCAAAAACTGTTAGATGCTTTTCCTAACTCACTCAGTCAACTTGTTTGGTTGCAGATCCATTATTAATTTGTGCTTTGTGAATTTAAAGTTGTATTCTTATCAAACAGTGAAACAATAACTGAATATTCAATGGAAAATAAGCAGATAAATGATAGCAAATACTCGTATAAAGGTTTGTAAAAAAGTTCGACACGCGCCAGCTTTTTTGAGTGTGAAACAAATTGAATAAATTACGCAAAGTTCACAGAAGCAAAGATCTGCATAGAAAACATATAAAATATCTAATAAATATTCATTAAAACAAATTATGTAATAAATGTCTAAATAAATATTATAGAATTTTCTCCGTATTTTAGCACCGCTTTTCGGCGCTCGTCATGTACAGTGTATTTTAATATTTTTGGGACTCTCTGCTGCGATCACGCAACGCGTAATCTCTCGGTAGCAATAGTGGCAATGATGGATAAGAATTCCACAAATCCCAATTTTGAGGTAAGAAAACTAAAGTAAAAAAATAATAGTTTTCCATAACCGTGGGTTTTTACCCAAGGAGTACCAATGGTCAGAGAAGACAAAATCCTACCTGCTCAGCAGTTTCTTTGCGGGATATTTTGTGACGCAAATACCGGGCAGTCAGTTGGCGCACAAATTTGGTGGCAAAATAATGCTACTTCTTGGTATAGCACTAAGTGGATTCTTGGCTTTACTCTCACCGCTGAGCGTACGTTTGGACGATTGGAAACTGCTGTTCGGGCTGCGTTTGTGTCAAGGTCTCATACAGGGTAGCATCTTTTCATCGATACATACACTGCTCTCCAAATGGATACCAGCCGAGGAGCGTGGCTCACTTGGTACCTTTTGTTACAGCGGCATGCCTTTTGGTAGCGTGCTAATGATGTTGGTCAGCGGTTGGATTGCCTCCTCTACATTTGGTTGGCCGGGCATATTTTATTTCGCCGGCTTACTCAGTTTAATTTGGGGTTTCGTTTGGTACTTGGTCGGCGCTAACACACCAAGCGAATGCAACTGGATAGGTGAAGAGGAGCGTTTGTATATTGAAGCTGCGATGTTGACATCGGCTAAACCGGAGCATGAGCTCGGTTGAAGATACTCACATCTGTGCCTTTCTGGGTGCTATTGTTGACACAGTGCACCTATGTTTGGGGCTTTTGGACATTGCTGACACAAATCCCCTCATATATGAAAAACATACTGGGACAAGATATCAAGAGCAATGTTCTTATGTCCGCCGCACCTTATCTGGCTAATATGTTTTTGACATTCGTATTTTGTATTTTAGCCGATTTTCTAATTAAACGAGGCTACACCCGCATTAATGCCAGTCGTAAACTGTTCAACACTATCGGTTTTTAGGTGCCCGTATTACCGCTTATACTGCTCGGCTATATGCGCGCCGATCAGAGTGAGTTGGCACTTGTTTTGCTGGTAATTGCTGTTGGTGTGAATACGGCCGGTTCTTTAGGTTTCCTTACCAATCATATTGATTTATCACCCAATTTTGCTGGTGTCGTTATGGGCATAGCGAATTGTGCGGCAAATTGTATGAGCTTGTTGGCACCACTGACGGTGGGCTTCATTGTCACAGATGCGGTCAGTATGCTTATAAGTTCTTAATTTATTACTATATTATATATTACAGAAAAATGCGCACCAGTGGCGCATAGTCTTCTACATTGCCGGTGGCATGTACTTCGTTGGCAATTTATTGTTCATTTTGTTTGGCCAGACCAAAATCCAGGCCTGGAACTATCCTAAAATACAGCGGGATGAGCGCGATCACATCCGATTTGAAATTATCAAATTGGATACTGAGAAAAAGTGACAAGTCTGGCCATTTCTGAAGATTAACGATGCATTGTTTTGATTTACTTTCGAGATAATAAGAGAATAATCAAGTTGGCAGTGAAATTGCTATTGTGGCGTTCTTTGCTGTCTCCAGAAACCCGAGTTTGGGAAGTCAATTAAATTAACAAATAAGAATGAATCACATTTGAGTTTAGTAAATATACAGAAAATGTCAGTGATAACTGTAAATATGGTTAGACATATGCTTATCGAAGATAAAAACATATAGGGCGAATAAAGGTAGTTTTGTAACTGTTATAATTAAATATAATCGATTGCATATATTTTATATAAATATATAACTAAATCTGAGAATGTAATCGGCCAACTAAAAACGGTTGGCCACGTTGTTTGATACGTATACTAAACAACTTTCAAGTCTAAGGTTACTTAATAGTATTATTGTAAATGGGAAATAATATTGATTAACAGTTTTGTGGAGCATGCTATTGATTGGTCTCATAGAAAAACAAGTAAAAAAATGTTAACTTCGGCTGCACCGAAGCTATAATACCCTTCACAGAGTCTCCACACAAGAACTTAATTTTGATCGGTCGGTTTTTAAGGCAGTTATATGTTGTAATGGTTTGATCTGAAAAATGTATTCAGATACTATCTTGTCAGATATACCCTATAGTGATCCGATCTAAGCAATTTCTTCGGAGATTACATAGTTGCCTTAGAAAATAACTCCAAAATTCGTGAAAATACCTTATCAAATAAAAAAGTTTCCTATACACGCACTTGATTCCGATTGTTCAGTTTGTATAACAGCTATATACTATAGTGCTTCGATCTCGGCAGTTCCGACCAATGAGCAGCTTCTTAGTGAGGAAAAGACAGCTGCAAAATTTCAGATAGATAGCTTAAAAATTGAGTGACGAGTTCGTATATATACAAACAGACAGATTGACAGACGGGCATGGCTAAATCAACTAAGCTCATCATACTGATAATTTATTTATATATTTTATAGGGTCGCCGACGTTTCCTACTGCGTGTTACAAACTATGTGGCAAACTTAATATACCGTGTATGGGGTATATATAAAACAATTCTAACAAATTAGCCAGTGTTTTGAATAAGATATTTGTTGGCTGCTTTCTTAGTTGCTTCTTCTTTTAATTTTGTGTATATAAATATATATATGTAAATACATTTATACAATGTCATGCATTTATCTTTAGTACTAAGTTTACTGATTGCATTTCCAAATAAATAGATAAAGAGTTAAGGGGAATTATTAATTTTTAGCTCGCATCTATTTAAATAACGATTACACCGCAAGTAGTGTTACCAAAACGTGTAAATACCTAGCTTTTACAAAAAACTAACTTTTTACTAGCAAGAGTTTCACGAAGCTCAGAATATGTTTGCATAAAAGGTCTTCGAAAAATTTCTGTTTTAAGATTTACATTACTCTAAAAGAAAATTGTTCAATATCGGCATTTGCTAGTATAATGTTAGTTCTTTCACTGCAATAGAGATGCTGTAATTTCTGCCTTCCGATTTTAAATAGACTTAGTTCAAAAACATATATACTTTTATTCATTTATTTTCTACTATACATCCTTTCTGATCAAAAGACAGTTAGCCACAATGTTTAAAAATTATTATTTTAAACAGAGTTTTTTAAACTTTAATATTTAATTCAATACTATTTAATGTTTACCTTAAAGTATCAAAATGAGATAATTATAAAGTCCAAAAAATAATAATAAAATAAAAAAATAAGTGCGAATCTCTTAAAAATGGTCTGGCAACCCTGTCAGTTGTATTTATTTTCTATTTTTGAGAAATACTAAAAATGAGATAAACAATTGCATGCAATTACTACAGAATGTGCAAAAAAACAGTAGTAAAATCGTTATTTGCATAAGCAACAAGCTGCGCTAGAAGTTCTGGAAAATCATAAATCATGTAGATCTCAACATGCTGAATATAATATATATATGTATATATTTTTATGTTATATTAAATGTGCTCGAATGCCGAAGCGCTTTACGGAAATGCTACTAAAAAATATAATTTTTTTTTGTTTAATATATCATTAAAAAATGGGTGTGACTATCATGCAATTGTATACATTTTTAACACCAAAGCAAATATCTTTCCAGTTCTTAATCGATAAACCTCTGATCAAATTTGACACGGACTGATTCATTTAAACTGCGCGCGCAACCCGAATCGATTAAAATTTTCCTTACAATAGATTGGTAAAATCTTTTTTTTGTTCGTGTTAATTTTGTTTTCCATATGTCAATTATTGTGTGTTTGGCAGTTGTTTGTTAACGACGCTAAACGTTTGTTTGACAATTTTTATAATGAAAAAAAAACTGAACAACGAGTTTGCCTGTTTGCACCGAAATCACGGCTACGAAATCATTAAAATTGTTTCACAAGAGTTTTGGGTAGTCTGCTTTACCACGAACACAAGTATTATATTTGAGGGGCTGAAATCATTCATTGAATGTCGTGAAGTCATTGAATATTTGCCTTAGATGACTCGTATATCCATCCACCTCTGTTAATTATGATAACATCGATAAAGATAAATAAACAGTGCTTGCAAATCATCATGTTCGGATCGACTCAACCTTTTTGGTTAATGTTTTGAGTATGAAGCGTGTAAATGCCAAACTGGTACCAAAAAACCTGAATCCCTTGCAAAAATGGCATCGCAATGAGATGCTTGACAACGAAACTGCGAACTCTACATTCATAAAACGCATCATTACTGATGACGAGATGTGTGTTGCTGAATATGACGTCAAAACTGTCTAAAAATCTTGTGAATGCCACTCGAAAACTAAGACGATACCGAAAAAACCAAAATTCGCTGAACGCACTGAAATCCGAGGCTGGAAAATAGGATTAATCGTTGACTTTTTTTGTCAGTTCACATCAGATGGTACATCCTTTATGCTCGAATAATATTAAAACCGGCATGAGCATTTTGGAAATAGGGTTTTTATTGAAGGCGGCACAATTATCTGTCGAGTAAGATGACTATGAAATCTAACTAATCCTAGCAAAAATGTTGTGCCACACGTGCTAGCTGCGTACGAAGTTAGAATGAAATTTTCTTTACATTAACTTATATATGATTTTAAAAGATAACGACTTTGGTTAAAACAACGATAAGCAATTATATATTTTAACAATATAATTACGTGTCCCTTAGGATTTGTACTCAGAGACTCGTTAATCGTAGAGTGATCCGCTGCCATTACACATATGCAGCTGCGTCCGAAAGCACGGACATTTCGACTTTATTGAATCACTGAGTCAGTTGTGAGTCATGGTCTTGAATCAGAGCATTAAGGAAACGAAGCGTGAGTTTTTTAACACTATTTCTAAGCTTAAATTAAATGATTTGTGATAATTATTTTTTAATTGAAATTATTTTTTTTTTTTATATTTTCGTAGTACCGATGTTCGGTCGACGCCATGTACAGTGTTTGCTGCTTTTTTTTGGCCTCTCAATTATCTATGCCATGCGTGTCAATCTGTCCGTTGCCATTGTGGCGATGATGGACAAGACGGCGTCGAATCCCAATTTTCCCGTAAGTATAGTGATGTAAAAAGATTTAATATACAAAATGAATATATATATGGTGAAGCCTGTTAGTCACAGTTATCTTCGTTTCGTTAGAAAAAAGTTAAAAGTGCAAAAAAATAAATTATAATGTTGCTTAAAGTGATTCCGCCTACGACCGTTGACTCAACAGAAAGTACAAACAAAAACAACGCCGAAGCGAAAGGTCGCCTTGATCGTTATGCAAGTAACTTTTAATGTCATTCAACCTGCTGTCAGCTCTTTGGAAAATTCCAGCAATGGCAATAAAATTAGATTGCAGATACCCCCCAAAGTTCTTTAAATACACTAAAAGCTTAATACGAAAGTTTGTTCAACCCCTAAGGAGAGTAAAATTCTATTCTTATCTCAATTAGTTTCTATCTAAATTTTTTCTGTAAAATAGATAGAGTAAACTGGAATACCTGATTATACTCAAAAAACAAAGTTCGTGTGTGAGCTTTTCTGCACATATAAGGCAGAGAACTTAGTGAGAGTACTTGGAGAGTCAAACCTTTGTCTAATTTGCGGTTATTGGTATGTGAAAATCCCGATAGTGGTAACCCGATACTTACAAGTACTTGTATTACAATACTTTGAAAACTTTACCTCCGTTATAGAATCCTATGCTTGAAGTCTTCGTGTAGGGGTGCCTCTCATGATAATATAAAAAAACTCTCAACTAAGACACGAATTAACTGTGAACAAAAGAGGATCCATCCGTTTCCTCGAATTATTTTCAAGATATAGTTTGGGCTGAACATCTTCTTGAGCTTAATAATAATCAACTAGCCTACTACATTAGCTACTCTACATTATATCATTTCATTTATTCACAGGAATACAAATGGTCAGAGCAAACGAAATCTCGAGTGATCAGCAGTTTCTTCTGCGGCTACATTTGCACACAAGTCCCTGGTGGCAATTTGGCGCGACGTTTTGGCGGCAAAGTAATGCTACTCTTTACGATAACCAGCAGCAGTATACTGGCTATATTTACACCGTTGGCCGTCAGCGTAGGCGACTGGATGTTATTATGTGTGCTACGTTTCCTACAAGGCTTCGGACAGGGGTCGACCATACCAGCGATGGCAACAATGCTGGCCAAATGGGCGCCAGTTGAGGAACGCAGCTCTTTGGCCACCTACCTTTTTTCGGGCGCACAATTCGGCACAGTTATAATGTTGAGTTCCAGTGGCGTACTGGCTTCCTCCAGCTTAGGTTGGCCAAGTATTTATTATATACCCGGTATGTTCGGTTTGTGTTGGGCATTAATTTGGCTGTGGCTTGGAGCGAGCTCACCTAGAGATTGTAAAGCTATTACCATTGCTGAACGCAATCATATCGAAACCTCCTTAAATGCGCACAAGATAGATGACCATGAACATGAAATGCCTACCAAAGTGCCTTGGCGTAAGATATTCACTTCACCGCCATTTTTGGCATTACTAACTGCACATTGCGGCTACACATGGGGCTTCTGGACACTGCTCACCCAAATACCATCGTATATGAAGAGTGTACTTGACAAGGATATTAAGAGTAATGCGTTACTCTCTTCCCTACCGTATCTCACGATGGTGATTTTGGGTTTCATTTGTTGTCCCTTCGTGCGTGCTTTTGAGGAATCAAAAGTGGTTAGCACCACAACTTCGCGTAAAATTTTCAATACAATCGGTCAATGGATACCGGTTACCACATTCATATGGTTGGGTTACGTGAGCGCGAATGAGAGCGATTTAGCTGTGGTGCTCTTAACTGTAACTGTTGCGATTAGTTCGATAACACATTTTGGCTGGCAGGTGAATCATATTGATCTCTCGCCACACTTTTCTGGCACGCTTGTGGGTTTGACAAACACAGCCGCCAATGTAATGAGCATCATTGCACCGCTGGTCGTCGGATATATCGTAACGGATCCGGTAATTTTTTACGAAATGCAAATAAATATTTGAATATTCTACTTATTTTGCAAAATCTTACAGACAAGTTCGCAGCAATGGCGCATAATATTTTTCATCGCTGCCGGCTACAATTTCGTTGCGAATTCGCTCTTCATTACTTTCGGCTCAGCAGAAATGCAACCCTGGCATAATGAAGAAGTCAAGGTGCAGGAGCTGCAACCACTCAACGAGAGTTCGCTGGTGACGCGTTCAACTGACGTTGAGAAGAAGAAGGAGAATGTTTAAATTTTTATTTCTTAAAATATTTCAGTATTATTTGTCGTATGTAATTGGAAATGTATGTTTTTTAACCGGTTTGAATTTAGTGTGTAAAATATAGGTCTGTATTAATAGTTATAGCAAAATGTAATAGAAATTATAGATAACATATATTTTACTAAAATAAATTTTAAAGTTCTATGGAGCGATGTAAGTAGAAAATTATAATTAATCAGAATTAAAATTTAGCGAAGGAAAAAAATAACTCGGTAACTTCACATACTTTACGAAATTTTGATCGGCTGAAAAAAGAAGAGTCAAATGATATTATAAAATCTCTAAAAGAAAATATTCATTCCCGGATTGGTCCATTTAAACTGCGCGCGCAAGCCAAATCGCAAAATATTTTTTTCTTAGATTGGTGAAATCTTTTTTATGTTGGTGTGAAGCTTGATCTTCATATTTCAATTAGTGCGCTTTTGTCAGCCATTTCGTTACGACACGAAAGGTTTGACGGCGCTTTTTGCCAAGGAAAAAAGTTGAACCATGAGTTTGCTTGAAATCTTTGTGTTTCCAGTGAAATCATGGCTACGAAACCTTTGCAGAATTGTTTTGGGGAGTCCACTCTATTACGAACACAATTATTTGAGTGGCATAAAGCATTTAGTGAAGGTCAGGAAGTCATCGAAAACTTGTCTCATGAGAGTCGTCCATCCACCTCCTTAATAACGATAACATCGAAAAAGTTACAGATACACTGCTTGAAAATCGTTGTGGCATCAGAGAGATAGCAGAGGATCTCAACATCTCTATGGATGGACTACACCATTTTTTTAATGTTTTGCGTATGAAGCGCGCGAGATGCTTGACAACGTAGCCGGACCTTACAGTCATCAAGCGCATCACTAAATTACATTACGTGGGTTTGTAAATATAACATCGAAACTGAACAAAAATCTAGCGAATGACGGATAAACTACTCAAAATTCGCTGGAGACTGAAATTTATAAAAAAATTAATTAAGCGATGCCAATCTTGAATTGGCCCAGGAGCCTATTTTGAAGGTGATTAAGACTTTTATTAGATTTGTCTTTGTGTCGATCGAGGTCGAATTTGATCAGCGGGATAAATGTATATAAGAGGTGTTTAATTCAGCTGCATAACAAGCTCTCGTTTCCGGTTTCCAGTGAGTACGAGGGTGAAATTTAAAACAAACAGTACACGACAAGAACCAAAAAGCACACACTTTCTATCGTGCGGTAAAAATTTTTTTGCAAAACTGGGTTGTATACCAATATATAATATACTTATGTGTATGATAAATCTCTTATTTGAGAGTAGTTTTTTACTGTTTAATAGTAAATAAAGTCATAGACTGAAATTCTCAATAGTCCTTAAGCCAAACCTTAACTCTAAAATCTGCAAGCCACAGGTGTTAAGCGAAAACCCTTTTACTCTTAGGAACTGCGAGTATCAAGATTATTAGTTGGTCATTGAACCGCAATTATTATAATTAATAAATATTTAAATAGTATACTTTTCGTCTCGGAATAGAAACTTAACCAAACATTTTTAAGAACTAAATTAACTGCCGAAGTTGTGAAGTTGCATGTGTTCTTGTTTGTTCTTAAAACAGATTTTTGAGGTAGAAACCGCTTGACAAATTTGTTATTAGTAAATGTTCTGAGCTTGTGAATACGATTTGTACAAATAAATTTCTCGGAATCCCGTATGCATTTCCATTTTACTGACGTACTGGCGTAGCCTTGAAAAATGAGTGCAATGCACAATTAATAGCTATTTCCCGTTACTTTATCAAAAGTATGCAGTATGCTTAGTTTTCAGAAAAGTTCATTAAACCCATTAAACCTCAAGTTCACTGCCAAAATTCCATGACAAAGAAATTAGAAGATAAATTGATTATAAAATGTTTTGTATTTATATATTTATATAAAATTTATTTTGTATATTTTTAGGTATATGTAAGGCATTCACATCCAAACAGTCGTCGACGAAAATAATCATCAATTATTAGCTATAAGAAATCGTCTTGGATCGCATAGCATTTTCGTATTCTAAAATTTTAAATCCATTCCTGGTAGAACTCAATCTGAACGTCAATCGTTCTAATACATGAGTCCATTACTACACTGTGAGTATAGCATATCAAAATATACTTTGAAGCAAGTTTCAGCAAATACCAAGTCACAGTGTCCGATTTAAGTCAAATATGCGCCGTTTTGTTCGTAAACTTGTTGCCAACGAGATGCCAACTTCATTATACCCCTCACGTAGAAGGCTGCGTCCCTATTGGCAAAAAACTCGGAGAGCCAATTATCACAGGCCTCTCTTGAGGCCAAGTTCTCACCATTAAGCGCGTTCGCCATGGACAGGAAAAGATGGTAATCACTTGGTGCCAGGTCCGGACTATAAGGTGGGTGTGGCCTGGCGTTGTCCTCATGGAACACAATTCGGCCTCTGTTGATCAAAGGTGGCCTCTTCTGGTTGAGTACTGCCTTCAAGCGGTCCAGTTGTTGGCAGTAGAGGGCCGAATTGAGCGTTTGGCCATAGGGGAGCAGCTCGTAGTAGATGATTCCTTGCCAATCCCACCAAACACACAGCAAAACCTTCCTGGCCGGTAATCCGGTCTTGGCCACCGTCTGTGCCGCTTCTCCGAGCTTTGACCACGACCGTTTGCGCTCGATGATGTCGTAAGTGACCCATTTTTCATTGCCAGTTACAATCCGTTTCAAAAACGGCTCGATTTTGTTGCGATTCAGCAGCGATTCGCAGATGGAAATTCAGTCCATCATGTTTTTTTGCGTTAGTTCCTGTGGCACCCAAACATCGAGTTTCTTTTTGAATCCAAGGTTATGCAAATGGTTCCAAACAGTTTTCTGGCTTATCTTTAGTTCTTCAGCAATTAAATAAGTGCTCACGTGACGGTCTGTTTCCACTATTTCCATGATTTTATCGCATTTTTCGACGACAGCCTCCCGACGCGTGGTGCATCTTTGACATCGAATTTACCGGAACGGAACCTAGCAAACCACTTTTGTGCTACACGTTCGTTTACAATATCAGGCCCATAAAATAAATTAATTTTTTCAGTCGCTTTGGCTGCTTTTTCGGCTAAAAAAAATTCTAAAATATAGCGAATTTTCTCTTTGCTGGTGTCCATCTTTGACGAGCGCTCACAACGAACTGAGTAAATCAATCGAAAAACTGTCAAAGACAAACTTTTAGCGCGAATAAACACGTTTTCAGCGCCGCATAGTATGACATGATACGACACGTAACACCACCGAATTGAAAAATTTAACCAAACATAGGAGTTATAAAACAAACAAAACATAATTCATTCGTATTTTAAGTATTACAAGTAGGTGTTACTTCCGCTATAATTAAAATTACTTTCCAACCGATGATATTTATTTGGTTGAGTATAAAAATTTTAATAAAATGACATATCCACCCTGTCTTTATATATTCACCATATTCATGAATTTTTTCGCCACTTTCGAAAACTTGCACGTTCGATGTTAGGCTTTCAGGGTGAGCTTTCATTCTCTGCTCTTGATCTAAAAGATTACATTTTAGGTCAGTAAACTGAATCATAAGCATTAATCACTTAAATATCAATAGATTTCTAGATATATTTCAAAAGTTGTCGAGCTCAATTATTTAGTGAAAATCAATCGCACCCTAAATCCACTCATCTATGTCTAGTAGTATTTTCATCGAAGACTAAGCGCGAATATTTTTCGTAGTCACTGTACAATGTTTAATAATAAATGCTGCAAACGAAACAAATGCAGAATTAAGATTAAGGAAGGCCCTATGCAAGGCAAAGTGGCAGAATATTTATGATTAGATTTAGAATTAACTAAATATACGCATAAAAACTTTACTTGCATATTTAATCCTTTTGTCTTTTTCATGCAATTTGTTATTTAAATTTTTTATTCAAATGTATGAGAAACCTTATCATTAAAAATAAAATGTTACTGCGTATGAAATTGCAATTGGCGTCCAGAGAGCATGTTGTTTTGTCACTTCATTTATAAAGCGCAGTTGCCAATGAGACCAGACACATTTGGACCGGATACAAGAACACGGATGATCTCTTAGGCGCTTAAATATGGTCGAAAAGCGGTGTTGTTCACGGGAAATCGGTGAAAATTTAAGTAGTCCCGTTATTTGCGTGCGACATATACTGTGCCTGCTAATATTCTGCGGACTGTGCTTGATTTATGGCATGCGTGTCAATCTCTCGGTGGCCATAGTGGCAATGATGGATAATGCAGGTGCGAATCCGAACTTTCCAGTAAGTATTCATAACATAAATTTCAAATTATTTTCGAAATAATTCATGCACACACTTTGTAAACATTTTTAACAGGAATATGCCTGGTCGGAGCAAACGAAGTCACATATACTAAGCAGCTTCTTCTGCGGCTATATATTTGCGCAAGTGCCTGCCGGCGCCTGGGCGCGTCGCTATGGTGGCCGCTTACTTTTGTTCATTAGTGTAACCATTAGTAGTGTGTTGGCGCTGCTCACGCCGCTTAGCGTCAGCCTGGGCGATTGGCCACTGCTCTGTGCGTTACGTTTCTGTCAAGGCTTAGTACAGGGTGCCACCTATCCAACTATAGCCACAATTATGGCCGAATGGGCGCCCATTGAAGAGCGCAGTGCTATGCTCACCTACTGCTGTTCGGGCTTGGAATTGGGTATAGTAATGATGTTGGCCAGCAGCGGCATGCTTTGCTCCTCCGATTGGGGTTGGCCAAGCACATTCTATATACCTGGTGCGCTTGGTTTAATATGGGCCGCTATTTGGTTTACATTTGGTGCGAGTACACCGAACGATTGTAAATATATTACGTTAGCTGAGCGCACACTAATCGCCACGTCTTTGAAACGTAATATGGCACAGAGTGAGAGGAGTAAAGTGACACAACCGATACCATGGTTGAAAATCTGCACATCCAAGCCATTTCTGGTGCTCATAGTGAGTCAATGTGCGTACAGTTGGTGTTTCTGGACATTGCTAACGCAAATACCATCGTATATTAAAAGTATACTCGGCAAGGATATACAAAGTAATGCATTCTATTCGGCACTGCCCTACCTTACAATGCTCGGTCTTTCGTTGGCGCTCTGTCCACTTGCCAGTTATTTGGAGAAATCGAAACGTTTGAATGCGACGGTGAGTCGTAAAATATTCAATACTATCGGCCAGTGGACGCCTGCAGTTACACTAGTCTATTTGGGCTTTCTAAGCACCGATCAAGCTGATCTTGCCATCGTATTGCTCACACTCACTGTTACAATTAGCACCGTTACGCACTTCGGGTTTCAAGCTAATCACCTCGATTTATCGCCATACTTCGCCGGCACTCTAATGGGCATCGCGAATTCGGCGTCGAATGTGATGAGCGTTATAGCACCGCTAGTGGTGGGCTACATCGTGACGGATACGGTAGGCGTCAAAAATAAGCTATGGTAGCTAAATAAAAAAGTGTTCTCTATTTGTATCTTTATTTGCAGAAAAACTTACATCAATGGCGCATTATTTTCTCTCTAGCGGGCGGTATTAGCTTTTTCGGTAATCTTATGTTTCTGTTTTTCGGCACTGCTAAAGAACAGTTATGGAATGAAGTGCCGCAAATGGTTGTCGAATTAAAGCAGCGTGGTGGGGAGCATTTTACGGAGGTGAAAAATGTGGAAAATTGCGCGGAAAAGGAAAATGTTAATGTTGGTGGTTCGAGAGAGACTATAAATTTAGTGTGATTTAGTAAAATTTTTCAATAGAAATTTAGAAATATCTTGTGAGCATAATCGGAATTACTTTAGTTACAATTATACATACATATTTATAAGTATTATTATAATTAAATAATTATGTAAGAATATATATATTCAGAAGGTGATTTATTAATAAAAAAAATTATTAAAAGCAAAATAGAATTCAGCAAAACATTCATATTCACAAAGATTTTGAAAATCTTGTTGAGAATTGTTTATTTTTGATATTCAGAAATTTATATTTAATATTGTAGTCAAAGCACCATTATTTGAAACCTGTAAAAACTATCCTAAACACAGATTAAAATTTCGATTTTAAAAGCGCATAATACAAAAACGGTACGCAAATTTGAAGGATTGATTAGAAAGTATTTTGTTATATATTTTTTGTCTATAGACTCATATATAACATATATTATTCATCTTTTTTTTTTCTTACTCATTTATATCCACAATTACATGCCACATGAATTCATTGTCAAGCTCGTTTGATAAAGAAAGTGTTTAGAATAAATATAAACTTTAAAATTTCCACTCAAAATTGCGCAAAGAAGAAGCAATTATTATTTATTTTATTTAAAAATCATACACTGTAAAAAATTGTAAAAAAAAAACTATCGAAATTTCTTAGAAAGTCAGTTCAGTTCAATGAAGAAAGGCAAAGGGACTTCAGGACTTATATACACTTGTAAATTTCAAATACTTGTTTTTGTTTGCATAAATATAGAATCTACATATACTTAAAAATATTCCGCCAAATTTTAAAGCTAAGCCGGCAAATATTTTCAATGACAGAAGCGTATTTATAAAAATGGCTGGGCCCATTGACTTGAATTTTTCACACGTTCTTCTTTGATAAATATTATATTTATCCCACACAATTGGCTCTATTACAACTACATACGAGAGTTATACGAAAAGACTATATACAGAAGAGAAAAGCTTCCGTAATTGAACAAAAAATGGACTCGGTCCCACTGGTCACAAAAACGGCGAAATATTTTTACATTTTATTTATCTGTTCGTTATCCAAGTGGCAAGAAATGGGAGCATTGATACACCATAAATATAGTTAAGCATGGATAAACTTTATTTAGAACAAAGGTCACGTATATGTGGGCAAAATCAAATTTGACCTGTATATAGTAGCTAAATCAAATACTTTCTTTTAACCCGATTAAGAGCTTGTGTATTAACCATAATAGAGAAGTTTAGCTGAATAAAAAGCAGTTGCGGAAAAAGACCCCTAAATCAATGAAATGTTACTTCCTTAAAGATCAGCCGCAATATCATTCAGTCCACAGCCAAAAGAATATTACCTATTCCAGGCAAACTTAATTATGCTTTTCTAGTTAAATTCAAAACTGACTCTACTACGTTTTTTACCTTTTACCAGTGGATTTTTACGGTGTTCCCATTTAGCGTTGGAAATAAATAAATAAATACAGTAGCTATTTTACCTTTATTTCATATGCCTTTATCTGCAGATTTATTGCCGTGGCCAAGCATAAGTAAATACTGTATTTTAATGACAACATTTGAATGCTTTCCAAATATAGCGACTGCTCTTATTTTAACTTCCTTCAAACTAACGTATACAAGTACATACAGCGAGCAAAATTGTTGATAACGGGATTGTGGGTGTCTGTATGAATGTGTATTTGAAATGCAATTGTTGTTGTTGTGGTTACATACATATATATATAGCAGATGTTGATTATCACCAAAATATTTATTTATATCAACACATATGTACAGAACGACAGTGCCATATCTTATCACTCCACTGGATGGAGTCGTTGGATGCATTAATTTGCAAATCATATTTTCCTTTAAAACAGAGTCGCTTGATGCGCAGAGAAGATTTTGTGCCCGCAACCATCGACGGTGATAGTAACTAAATGCTTATTACGCATCAAATTCAAACGACAAGAGCAGTGAGTAGCTACGCGCATAGATATGGTGACAACGCGACGATTTTCACTTGAGCCGAATGGCAAATTCAAGGGTAAGACGATAGGATATAGACACTTGCAATGTCTACTCATATCCATGGGCTTCAGTTTGCTCTTCGCAATGCGTGTGAATCTCTCCGTAGCCATTGTGGCTATGATGGATAGTAAAGGCTCGAATCCAGACTTTCTGGTGAGTAATTTTTCATAAATTTTCCAAACTTTTTTACCGTTACATAAGCGGTAATATCGCGTATCGTTTGAGATTGGTTATGTAATGCACGCTTTTTCTACTCTCTTCAGGAATACCATTGGTCACAGCAGACAAAATCACACATACTGAGCAGCTTCTTTTGTGGTTATATTTTAGTGCAGATACCCGCAGGCGGTTGGGCGCGTCGCTTCGGTGGGCGCCTACTATTGTTGCTCAGCGTCACGCTTAGCAGCATTTTCGCATTAATCACACCGCTTAGTGTCAGTTTGGGTGATTGGAAGCTGTTATGTGCGCTGCGCTTCTGTCAGGGCCTGTGTCAGGGCGTTACGCTGCCTACCATAGCAACGCTGATGTCCAAATGGGCACCGATTGAGGAGCGTAGTGCCTTACAAACTTACTGCTATTCCGGCGCACAGTTTGGCATAGTTGTGATGTTGGCCACCAGCGGTGTGCTCTGCTCCTCGTCGTGGGGCTGGCCGAGCACTTTCTATCTTCCCGGTTTATTGGGTTTAGCTTGGTCGGGCATCTGGTTGGTGTTCGGTGCGAGCACACCACGTCATTGCAAGCACATTTCGGCGGGTGAACGTGCCATGATCGAGGAATCGTTGGGTCACGACACCAAAAGCGCTGAATTCGCTAAAACACATGCTGTGCCCTGGAAGCAAATATTCACTTCCAAACCATTTTTGGTGTTGATCTTCAATCATTGTACAAATAATTGGTGTTTCTATACGTTACTCACCCAAATACCGTCGTATATTAACAGCGTACTCGGCAAGGACATCAAAAGTAATGCTTTGCTTTCATCGCTGCCTTACATAACTATGTTGGCGTTGTCTATGATCTGCTGTCCGTTAGCGAGTTGGTTGGAAAAATCGAAATTGTTGAATGCAACCGTGAGTCGTAAGATCTTCAATACGATTGGTCAATGGATACCGGTGGTAACGCTTGTGTCACTCGGTTATCTGCAGCCAGATCAAGGCGATTTGGCAATTATTTTGCTAACGGTAACTGTTGCCATCAATACAGTTGGCCACTTCGGCTACTCGGTGAATCATCTGGATTTGTCGCCCAACTTTGCGGGCACCCTTATGGGCATTGTCAACTGTTCGGCAAATGTCATGAGCATTATAGCGCCGTTGGTGGTTGGTTACATCGTCACTGATACGGTAAGTAGCAGTATTTGTAATATATATCCTTAAATTATCGCTAAAACCTTTACAATCTTCTTTAAATCAGACAAACGTCTATCAGTGGCGCATAATCTTCACAGTGGCTGGCTGTATGAGCTTTTCGGGCAATCTGATGTTCCTGATTTTCGGCACCGCGAAACAACAACCATGGAACAATCCACCACAAATCGTGCAGGAAGCAGAACCTTTGAAGAGTTTAGACGTCGATGCAAAGCAGTTGCAAGAAGGACAAGAGAAGGAATTGGCGTCGGTTTGAAGGACGTGTTTGATAACCATTCAGTATTACAATCAGTGGCACTTTTAGCTTATAATTAATTGAAATTAATAGTGTAGTATATTGATAAGTCTAGTTTAAGGATTGGGCATATAAATATAATATTTACGGATTACCAACTATTTCTGGAAAATTCATGCGATAAAATGGTATACAAGAAACCACTGCAAGGAATATTTAATTTTTGATTAACGCATTTTTTTATAATACTCCGATTGGGAATGATATACAAGTAACTCCAATACTTTATTTTATTTTTTTGGTATTTTCGAAACTTGTATAGAGTACTTTGAGTAATGTCACTCCAATAATCAGCAGCGTTCAAATTCCAACAAAAAAAGGTACAAAAATATATTCAAATATCAGATCTATATTTCTGTTATGAAAAAAGCTTCTTGTAAAACCCATGGGTCATTTAGAATTATCTTAAAACTTTTCGGAAGCTGTAGCAAATATCAGGTAAAGCTCCGACAAAGATTTGGCCGAGCGGTAAGTGCCGATTACAGCCACATATACAAACAATAACATAATCTAAAAAACCAAAACTTCTAAATTTAAGAAAAAGCTTGATAAGTATCTGAGTATAAACATTTTATTTTTATTCGATATATCGATATAACCTGTGTAATTTAAATATAAAACGGCACTTTATTTTTAAGAAATCTTAAAATATTCCACTTATAGTCATAAAACTAAAAGATTATATTTTTAAAGAAAAAAATAATATCACAATATGGTTGCAGAAGAGTTCTAAGCTAGTCTTTTCTTTTATTCTTGTTGGAAAATATTCCTAATATGCTTAGGAGTACAAAAATATATATGATAAAAGCTTATCATTTCATGGTACCGTATTATTTATCTTGTTAATAGATATACCCGTGTGAAACAGAAAAAGGGTCTACAATACGTTATCTCGTACTCTCGCGCGAAGAGTTTTTTCTTTTTAATTACTTGAAAATATATTTATAAGGCTGGACAAAAATAATTTAAGAAAAATTTTATTTTAAATACAAATATTCTAAATCTCAACTCTCTTTTGATGTATGAGTACTCAAGATATAAGAAAGCTCACCACCAACCACAGAGTTTGGATATATGGCATAAACTTATTAGCATAAAGCTCATGGCTCTTGAATGAGATAAAGCTATATTTAGATTAGTCTAGAGATATATGTTAGGTAGTTTTAATCACTTAATATCCAACTGTTATCACTGAAGCAGCTACTGATTTTCAAAGTGTAAGAAGAGCCTCTGAAACGAAACAAAAGCATAAAAATTGTATATAAAAACTGTGTTCATTGAAGAACCAAATCATTTGAGTGCGATTGTCAAAACTCAGTTATATCTCTTACATGCCAGTTGTCAACAAGTACCGCACTTATAGCCATGGTATCGGATCGACGCTCTTCTTTTATGTCCAATAGCAAATTTAAGGGCAAAATGTTTGGACATCGTTATCTACAATGTTTGCTGCTTTTTACAGGATTCCTTTTGATTTTCGCATTGCGTGTCAATATTTCAATTGCGATCGTCGCAATGATGGATAATAAGGCAGCAAATCCCGATTTTCCCGTAAGTGAACTTTCATTTTTGTACCGAACAGAAAATATATACATTTATATCCGAACGCTTGCAGGAATACGCGTGGTCCGAGCAAATCAAATCGTACATTCTAAGCAGCTTGTTCTGCGGTTTCATTTTACTGCTGATTCCCGCTGGTGGGTGGGCGCGTCGTCTCGGTGGTCGCATTTTTATGCTGATTAGCATTAGTCTCAATAGCGTCTTAGCGCTACTAACGCCATTAAGTGTGAGCATCGGTGGATGGCCTCTACTGTGTGCACTACGTTTCACTCAGGGTCTGCTACAAGGTCTTACATTACCAGCTGTTGCAACGATTTTGGCCAAATGGGCGCCCGTCGAAGAACGCAGCGCCATGCAAACATTTATTTACTCCGGTGCTCAGTTGGGCATTGTAGTGATGTTAGCTGCAAGTGGCAAGCTTTGCTCATCGCGTTGGGGTTGGCCGAGCACCTTCTATTTACCTGGCGCTTTGGGCTTAATTTGGTCTGTATTTTGGTACATATTTGGAGCGAGTACGCCACGTGATTGTAAGCGTATCTCAGAAGAGGAGCGCAATATGATCGAAAAGTCGTTAGGACATGACAAAAAGGCAGTTAATGAAATTAATGAAAAGCACCCAGTGCCATGGAAACGTATTTTTACATCGAAACCATTTCTGGTTACCTTCGTAAATAACTGTGCTAGTGATTGGTGTTTTTGGACTTTGCTCACACAAATACCATCTTATATAAAAAGTGTACTCGGAAAGGACATCAACAGTAATGCATTGATCTCGGCGTTACCATATCTCTGCATGTTTACTTTGTCCATAATACTCTGTCCTGTGGGAACTTGGTTGGAGAAGTCGAAACGCTTAAACCCAACTGTAAGTCGTAAGATATTTAATACAATCGGTTTATGGGGTCCCGCAGTATCGCTAATTTGTTTGGGTTATTTGCGTCAAGATCAAGGCGATCTGGCAATTGGCTTGCTAACAGCAACCATCACCTTAAGTACTCATGTGAATTTCGGCTTTATGGTAAATCATCTGGACTTGGCGCCGAATCTAGCTGGCACTCTGCTCGGTATTACTAATTGTTTTTCGAATATGACGGGTATTATAGCACCAGTCGTTGTTGGTTACGTTGTCACTGAAACGGTTAGTTGCAGAAAATTAAAAATTTGTATTACATTTTCACATAATCTCTTATATATATTTTTTTTTAATTATTACCAACAGACAAATATCCATCAATGGCGCATAATATTCTTTCTTTCTGCTGGCATTACTTTTGTCGGTAATCTCTTCTTTCTCATTTTCGGCACAGCTAAGGTGCAGCGGTGGAATGAACCACCACGCGAAGTTACTCCAATTGAGCAACTAGAGCAATTGGTCGATAGTTTGGGAGAACCCGATAAAGCAGCGGAAGCACCCGATGAAGAAGATGACAAAAAATCCGCTGTTGAACAGAGCGCTGTTTAGATCGCTATATGTGGATACATATGTATGTACAAAAAGGAAATAAAAAGTTCGACAGTCTGATTAATCCAATATCTGAAATTTGGCCGTTTAAGAAAGGCAACTGTTCGGTAGGTCCTTAATTGTGCACCATATATAATAAATGAGATGATGGTTGTTGACCTTGCTAACATATTTATAAATATGTAAAGACGTTGCATTTAATAAAACCTCAGATACACTAATACTTGTACTCTTGCATTTATGAAGAGATAAATATAATCTATGTGCCTACATATATATACTCTATTTTTAAGTTAACGCTGTGGAATTAGTTTAAAAACACACCGACTTAAGATTCTTATATTCCTATATTCAATTTAAATAAATGAGAAGTAAGATAGAGCTAAATGCGGGTAAGAAGGAATTCAAAAACCAAAAATGGAAGAAATTTGGTGATTCCTCTTCTTAGCACCATATAAAAGATTTAATAATTTTGGTCTCTCTATCTGTTTTGATACCGTCCATATCATTCAGATTAAGAGCTATTTAAATAATGATGTTGAATAATGATAATGATCAGCTGCTTTCGGAGCCAAATATTAGAGATATCAACCCAAAGGGGCAGCACTCTTAGCTACCTACCTACAGTTGGGGTATAATTGTTCAAATAGGTGCTGTAGACAACTGAATATTTTATTTTTGAATAAATTTCTAGAATATCCAACGCTCAGCTATACGAGAAATTAGCCTAGCATTACCTTACTATTCCATTTATTATACATATATCTGCAATTATAATGTATATAGGTTTATCCCAACGAGCTTTATCGCGGCGTTTTAATCACTTAATATCCATTTGTTATCTCTAAATGCGTTGCTTATTAACATATTTAACTAAGCTCTTTGCAAAGGGTGTGTTTTTAGTGATATAGAAATTTTATAATATAATCGTAAATAGCCCAACAGCAAAGATCATTGACTAGACGTAGACCCAAAAATGTAGTCTAACGGAGTTAAATTAGGTGACCCAGGTGGTGGCCATTCTACCGACCAACTATCACATTAACTTTGACCCGAACTAAAAATATTTTTCCCTGAATGGTACAAGCCTTTGTATGCTCGTTTGAAGTTTGATCTCCATATGTCAATTAGTTTGTATTTGGCAGCTGTTTGTTTAGAATGCGTGCATTTTGTTTGACGATTTTTATAATGAAAAAAAGTCGCACAACGAATTTGCTTTCAAAATGATCCAATATTATTTTGGGGAATCTGCTTTATCACGAACAGAAGTATTTGAGTGGCACAAAGCATTCAGTGAAGATTGTGTAGTCATCGAAAACATTCCTCATGCGAGTCGTTCATTCACCCCTGTTAATGACGAAAAAGTTTAAGAGACAGTGCTTGAAAATCATCGCGTTTTCAACAAAGATATAGCAGAGAAACACAACATCTCTTATAGATCGACTCAAAACATTTTGGTTAATGTTTTGGGTATGAAGTATGTCAATGTTAGATTCATAGCAAAAAAACCTCATACCAAAAGACCTGAGGTCGCAAATGAGATGCTTGACAACGGAGCTGAGGACCCTCCATTCACTAAACGTATCATTGCTAATGACGAAACGTGAGCTTCTGAATATGTCGTCGAAGCTGTTCATCAATCTAGCGAATTCAACTCCAAAAAATTAGCCTAACCCGAAAAAGTCAAAATTTGCTGCAGGCCATCCCAACAGAGGCTTTTAACAAGTATTTGTAAAATTGGATAAAGCGTTGGCATTGCTTGTATTGGCTCAGGAGCCCATTTTGAAGGTAATAATAAAGATTTGTATACGTGAAAAATAGTCAATCCAGATCAGATGTTAAGTATTTCTTGATTTGACTCGGCAACCAAAAGTTCGTACATGAAGTGGTGGTTCAATGCACAGTATAGCTTGTGTCATAGATTCCATTTTCACTATTCCGCTTTTAAAGAAGAAGGAACCAATTATATTCTCGGCATAGAAATTTCATTACAGAATAGATTTTTCTGGTCATAAGGTCGCTTGCGGGGCCTCTTTAGTACTTTGGCACATTTACTTATGCATTAATTTTAACAGATTTCACTACTATTTCGCTGGAAAATTTGTTAGTTCTAAAAATGTCACATTACACATAACAAGTAAAGAATGTTGATGCAAATTGAAATGTAAAAAATTTTCTTTTGCACGAAATCTGTGCACATTGTAGCATCAAATCATCTGTGGTCATGGTATGACAAACAGACAACGGAGAAAGCTAATGCAAGGCTTCTAGTGCCATGGAAACACATTTTTACATGGAACAATTTTTTGGTAATTCCTTTGAATCATTGTGCCAACTTTTGATGGTTTTGGACTTTACTCACACAAAAACCATCTTATATTGGAGAAGTCGAATTATTTAAAGGCAACTGTAAGTCGTAAGGTCTTCAACACGATCAGCCTATGGATACCAGCCACGTCGCTAATTTCTATGGGCTATCGGCAATCTCTTCTTTCTTACTTTCGACACCACTAAGATACAGAGGTGGAATGAACGACTACGTATCGTTTCTGAGCAATTAGAACAGCTTATCGTTACTTTGGATAAAACTAGCACTACTAACACTACAACTAAAGAACTGCATCAGGGAGATGTTGAAAAGCCAGATGAGGAAAAAGCAGCGTTTAATTTGCTTTTCGGGGTAGGTTTTGCCAAATTTTTTTCGAAACTCCCTCGTTAGTGTAATTTGTTTTTTAAATGTATGTTAAAGAGTTGCGCAAAGCTAGCTACACAGATAATATTTTTAGTCAGACGATATATTTGTATCAATGACTGGGATTTTGTTTATAATATGTTAAAAAATGCCTTTTGATATTATTTCTGTTAAATTTTAAATGTAAAAACATAAAATGTATATCTTTAATTTAATTTTTGTTTAAAACCTTGAAAAAATCTCAAAATTTACGGGGGAAACCTTGTCAGTTCAGTAGTTAGAGATTTAAGAGACTAGTAACTACTATTACCTTATTTAATGTAAGCGTATACAATTTTAATTTCATACGGAAAATATTAATCATAATCCATGTTTAGTTGAAGTTCTATGATTACTCTAAGGTCAGAATTTCTATCCGTAACTCAAGATTTGATATTGTCGGCAGTATTTCGAAATCTCAAGAATACTGCTAACGGAATGTCATTAGCCCAAACGAACTTTATTTAAGAAACTTGATCTAAATAAGCTAAATTATAAACCATCATAAAACAAATTGAGCGAATATTCACTACTCCATCGTATACTAACCTACCTCAACCTAACCTGACTGAGTTGGGTATTAAATTTAATTTCGACTAAATTAAATTAAGATTATTTTTTATTTCAAAAAAAATGCTGAAATAAACACTCAACCAAATATTTGTAAAAACACATAAACAGCTCTCGAATGCAAGTCGCCCAAGCTCAAGTACATTGCTAAAGAAAAATGTGTCAGAGATCATTCTCTGGCATTTCAACAGTTACATCTTTTTGTGTACTGTGTAACAAGTTCAAGAACCATATTTCAAAAGCGATTAAATCTATATGTACAATAGTGTTTAGTCAACGATAAGGTCTGTCAAGTTTACATATAAATAAAAATTTAAAAAAAAATTATCTCCTTCAACCATACTCATTACTCATTTCATGCAACGGGACTTACTACGGGTTATTACCGGTTTATTATGTAAGCATTTGCGCGTAATCTAAGAAGAGATTTGGAATAGTTATCAAAAAGAGCCAACACATTGCACTGTACAAAAATATCAACTCTGTTTACACCTAGTGTGAATTGACTGACAGATGCCGTACAAATAACTGTGTTAATAGTTGTTAACACTTCATACATATAAATTAAAAATGTTTTAACGTCAGAGGCATTTAAGCGTGTTTTGTTAAATCTAAAGAGATAAATAAAATATATGTTTATATAATATTTATATCTATTTGACTATATATTTTATCTCTATTTAGTGGCGTAACAGAATTTTTTGCAAAATACTACTCTTTCGAGATTTTTGTATTTGCAGATTAAATTTAAATAAACCAAGTAGGTAGTATTAGTAAAGTTAGGTTCACTTGCTGATCTTCAAGATGTGAATCTCATTTGGACTAATAAACAAATTCAGTCCTTTGTGAAGCCAGAAAATATAACTCCTATCTGATAAGTCGACAAAGCGTCTACACAAATTTTTTAGGCATTTTATTTCTATTATTTGTTGAAATATTTCTACCCCGTCTTGTTCCAAACAGCTTTTACAACTGCTATCCAGTTAGATTTTCTACTTTCGGTCATCCCAAAAAAGCGGCCAAGAATGAATCAAGCCAATTTTTGATAACCTCTTCTGATTTCAGTGAGGACGCTCTCCATGGACCGACACAAATGGTGTTCAGAAGGGTCAAGGTCTGGACTATAAGACGGGGGAAGCAAAATTTCCCAGCCGCTGTTTTCAAAATAATTTTTAACCGATCTTGCAACATGAAGCCGAGTGTTGTTATGATTTAGAATTATTGCCTCGTGACTAGTCGCAAATTCTGGGAAATTTTCGGTAATCGCTCGCTTCAATTTGATAAGTTGCTGTCAGTAGCGTTCTCCACTTATCGACTCACCCGGCTTTTCATATACTACTTCTATGAATGTTTGGGTTGGAATCTGATGCAAAAACGACTTCTTTTTATAGCGTTTAAGCAGCATTTCTGACATCCAAAATTGTCTTTCAACGTCACTTGGCTTAAATTCATACCAAATTCACTGAATTTCCTTGCGTTTGAATGTATTCGGCTGCTTTTGAACGTTTTGAAGTGGCTGCTTGAGCAATACCCAGAGATTTTGCGAGTCATCCTGGTAATAATGAATAAAAAACAGGTGTGTGAATTATGATTTTATCTACTGTAATAGCTCTTGGATTAAAACCATAAAAAATGCAAATAAATTTTCATCATGGAAATCTAAACTGGCGACTTCAACGACAACGCTTTATAGGACTTTACAGAAGAAAGATATTGGTCGTAGATGACATCATTTTCGGAATTGAATTCTTAATCTTGCTGAAGAAAGCTATTGGTAGCAGATGAAAATTGCAGCCATTTTGACAACATTCTTATAACAATGAGGTCTCCGATGGACCCGCATTTTTAGCCACCCAAGGAGTGTCATTCTACAACAATATCAAGAAGCGGTAAAGCTAAGCTACGGAATCTCATTTTATCTTTTTAACAAAATGGCTTGTGTCAATATTATTTTTTCTAATCAAGAAGGATTATTTTAGCTACTGAAATGCACGATTCCTAACTTTTAAAAAATATAATTTCATTTACGATAAAACCTTATTTTATCTAAAACTTATCAGTTTTTATCAAAAAGTTAAGTAGTATTGGATCTCTGACTTTCGCCTATATACTGACCACACATATGTATATATGTATGTAGTAATGTCTCTATACCTATCTACCTACCTCTATCTGTACTTCTATCTACCTATCTATGTATTGTATTTGTATTTATATGGGGTTATCTAAGGATTTAATGCGATTAACACACTAGTTACGCCTTCCCCATTTGGTGATATCGGCATATAATGAACAGAACTGATTTCGCTTTTGCCATTTGATGTTAGGATTTCAAATTCAACGCTAATGCCAAGCACTAGAGGCAACAGCAAATAAGCACAACAAGTGTAGTGCCGTTAGGAAGTGTTATTAAACGCGCGATTCGGATTCGATAGTCAAACCCGAGTGTATGTATTCATACACACAGTGTATCGTTCGGTTTGGGATTACATTAGTACTTAAGTGATTCTTGAGTGGAGCGACAAAGATTAATATGGGTACAAGTAGGCGCTCCTCCAGCTTGGCTAAATGTATGTTTATATTATATTATATTAAATTTGGTAAAAGGAAATTCGATATTTTTCCAATATGTTAGAACGTTTTAGTAATCTCTGTCTCGCGTTACATAAGTGCGATCGTGTACGCTATATAGCATTAGATATATAAGATTTCTTACCAAAAAAAAAGCAAAACTTTCTAAAAGTTTTTTCATTGTTTCACTGAGTTTGGTTTGAACATGCGTAAACGGCGGACACCAGCAAAGAGAAAATTCGCTATAATTTACAGTTAAATAAAGGTGAAAAAGAAACACAGTGTCAGAAAATGTGAATAGTGTTTATAGTCCCGATACTGTAGGAGTCAACCATGCGCTATTTTGGTTTTGTCTATACCGTTCCGAAAAGTTTTATGTTTTTTAAAGTTGCACCACGCTCTAAAAGATCATTTGTCGAAAATGTCGTCAAAATAATGGAAATCGTCGAATCTGACGATTCGATTGCCAGGAGCTAAACATTGTGTATAAAACCATTTGGTACAATTTAAATAAGACTGGATATGTGGCTGGGTGCCATCGTTACATTTCGTAGCGAATAGTTACTGGTAATAAAAAGTTCTTGGTTACGATAAGGTAAAGCGAAAACAGTCGTTGTCGAATCGGGGGAGCCAGCTCAAACGGTGGCTAAACTAAGATCAAAGGTCAGCAAGTACTTGCTATGTGTTTGGTGGGATTTGAATGAAATCACCAACTATGAGCTGTATGAAGTAAATATTCGCCCAAAAGTGGCCAGCGCTAAGCCTCATCGTTAGAGACTTGGCAGAAGCTCCGGGAGCTTGGTTGGGATAATATTATGCAACCACGTTATAGTTCGGACCTGACATTTAACGATTACTACCTGTTCTTGTGTATAGCGAACAATTTTGCTGGTGAAAAATTCGCTTCAAGAGAAGCTTCTGAGAATCAAGTGTCCCAGTTTTTTGACCAAAGCAACGAAGGTTGCTAAGGGAGTGACAAAAAATTATTGAACAAAACGGAGTCTATTTCACCTCAAACGTATAATTTTAACTATATTAAATAGAATTTTCAATTTAATGCAAAAATAATGGATTTCTGTTTACTAGACGTAATATTATAAAAAGGATTAAATAGTGATTAAGTGAGACTATACAGATATTATATAAGTATTATTATGTGTTTTCTGAAAAATTATTGTAGTGCTGCCGCCCACTTTTGGTAGACGACATTTGCAATGTCTATTGATGTTTATCGGTTTCTCCACTGCATTTTCGATGCGCGTTAATCTCTCCGTCGCAATTGTAGCCATGATGGACAGCAAAGCAGCAAATCCAGATTTTCCGGTGAGTGAATAAAGCGAAAGTCAGCGAGATGAACGGATTAGTATATATATTTTAATGTTTATACACCACAACCTTGCAGGAGTATCACTGGTCAGAGGAGACTAAATCGCGCATACTCAGCAGTTTCTTTTGGGGTTACATATGCACACAAATTCCGGGCGGCATGCTGGCGCGACGATTCGGCGGCAAAGTGATGTTGTTGTGTAGTTTCTCCACAAGCAGCATAATGGCGCTGTTAACACCGCTCGGCGTCGCCTATGGTGACTGGAAGTTGCTCTGTTTCATGCGCTTCCTACAAGGTTTCGGTCAAGGTGTAACAGTGCCGTCCATGCACACTCTTCTCGCCAAATGGGCACCGGTAACGGAGCGCGGCTCGTTGGCTACGTACAGTTATTCGGGTGCACAATTCGGCACAGTTATAATGTTAGCTTCAAGCGGTGTACTCGCCTCCTCGTCGATGGGTTGGCCCAGTTGTTTCTACATACCCGGCGGTTTGGGTCTTATCTGGACAGTATCGTGGATCATTTGGGGAGCAAGTTCGCCTAGTGAATGCAAACAGATTAGTGTTGCAGAACGTGCCCTCATCGAGGGTTCGCTGCAGCAAAACATTAAGCCGCACGACGATAGCAAACCTATATTGCCCATACCCTGGAAGCGTATTTTCACATCTGTGCCATTCTTAGTGCTAATGGCAACACATTGCGCTTCAACTTGGTGCTTTTGGACGTTGCTCACACAAATACCCACCTACATGAAGAGTGTGCTCGGTAAGGATATCAAAAGTAATGCGCTACTCTCGGCACTGCCCTATTTCACGATGTTGATTTTGGGTTTGGCGTGCGGACCGTTGAGTGATTTCTTGGAGAAGGGCAGTCATTTGAGCGCGACTACAAGTCGGAAGATTTTCAACTCCATTGGTCAATGGGTGCCGGTGCTAACCTTGATTTGGTTGGGTTACACGACACGTGAACAAGCAAACTTAGCTGTTTTCTTGTTGACGTTCACCGTGAGTATCAGCACGACAATGCATTTGGGCTGGCAGGTGAATCACATCGATTTGGCGCCAAACTTCGCCGGTACGCTCGTTAGTTTGACCAACTGTGCGGCAAATGTTTGCAGCATTATTGCGCCTCTAGTGGTGGGCTTTGTCGTCACTGATACGGTAAGTCTCTGTTTTTACATCAAATGTTATTATTACAATATTATTATTATTATTGAAACATATTGCTTATCACTGACATTTACAGAGTAACCCCAACCAGTGGCGCATAATCTTTTTTATTGTGGGTGGCATAAACTTTTTCGGTAATCTGATGTTCGTTCTATTCGGCACCGCCAAACTGCAGCCCTGGAATAATGAGCGCGAACCAAAGGTTGATGACAGCAAAGTCGATGCTGAGAAGGCACAAGAAATGGAACCGCTTAATGAGGAAACGGCTGATGTTCCAATAACTAAAGCAGAGTCACAAATGGTGGTTTAATTGAATTAAGTCAGTAATTTGATTTTGTTAAATTACTTAAATTAACTGAACTACTGTATTATTAAGGAACATTTTTTTTTTTGTGATTGTACTCCGTAGTTGTAGTTATAAGTAGTTCTAGTATATTCTTATAAATGAAAAAATTAGTTAACAATATTTAAATGGTGATGGGTATTTTGTATGTAAGCAATATTAGCACCGGGACCTTTGGTCAGTAGTGATCTTCCATATTTTTATTTACGACAAGTCTTGAAGTTGCGGAAAAGTACGATAAAATATCTCGCAAGGATGAAATAACCGAAATATGTGAGTGGATTGACTACTAATTGGTATGTACAAAGATATTAATATATTTGACACGAAAATTTAATTTACATGTTCCGTTTTTGGAAAAAAATAAATATACGCATAATAATGTAAAAAAATATGCTTCATTATATTAATTTAATTATGCTCAGAACTAAGACACCCGGCAAGGAGGGTTTGTAAAATAGTTTTGATCACCTTACGGTTTGCAAAACCTAAAATCGAGATAAATTCCAATGATACATATATAATGGTATTATATACATAAAGCTATCAGTATAACGAAACGAGTTGAATTTTAGTCTTAATCTTGGAATCAGTATAAAAATTAATGGAGTCCGCGTTCACTCCCCATACAAAGATTATGTTGAAAACTGCTGAAAGTGCGATAACTCACTAGATAAATATGCTAGAAGCATTAAACTCCACAAGCAAGATGGCACTGAAAGACATCAAAGAAATCGATGTAATGTAACTGGTCAATGGGCGTGGCACCAACACCCACCTTTAAGTATTGTAAAATCCTATATCTCAGGAACTACTCGACCAAATGTGGTTCATACAACTATCCTAACATTTTTATGTTACATTATGAAAATGCTCGAAATCGAGCCAACCACGCCTACTCATCACATAGTACAATTTTAAATTTCCTCTGATTCGTTCACTTTACAGTATATAAATCTAGCACCAGTAATGCTATCCGAAGTTGGGAAAGATAGATAGATAGATATTAATAGGCAATCTCACGTCTCAAAATTGTTGAAACCGGAACATAACTTTTCAAGACCCCAAATATCGAATATGTATATAGGGATAGGCTAATGTGCTTGGAATTTTTAGAAACGATGTGAGAGCTCTTTCCGGCTTTCGGTATAAACGCCACTCTAAGTGTCACTTGTTTCCAATTTTAACTAATGGAACATATAGAAAATAAGGAAAGCCGATGATTTAATGGAAAAATATGAGTTGATGAAATAAATTTTAACATACATAGAGGCATAAATTGGTTTGATATAGAGGCGAAATTTAAATTTGTATTTATTAAAAAAATATGTATAAATAAATATACGACAATATAAAAATATGTCTTTCTGTCTACAATGGCACTGAAAAGTTGTGAACATCTTTTCCATCGACAGTTTTGACTTCAGTAAACTCAACAAAAACACAAAAATTAAATATCTATTTCAAGTCTTTCGTGCCAGGTTTTTATATGTAAAATATGACTAACAATTTAAGCATAATTAAGTTAAGAACAATGAAATTAGGACTGAGCATAGTTCGATAAGCTAAAATCTTGACAACACAAAATATATAGCTGTAATTATTCATCCCATCGGAAATCAATCTCTAGAACAAGCTTCACCTGATCTACCTTTTTAGCGAGTGATATCAATTGGCAAATTTATCAAGTGAAGATGCCTGTAGAATTCTCATACACTTTCTTGTTTTCGTTTTATCTTTCAAAGTTCTTCTAATAATTGAATAAAATATTTAGTTGTGTCAATAATTTCTTCGATTTCCGTTATATGTTTTGCATGCTGAAAATGTGTTTGGCTTTTCAGACTATTCCTAACCAAATTCCAGTTATTTCCTTCGAACAAATGTAGGCAACGTTTTATCTATAATTTTCAAAAATATACATAAACTGAAAGCACAGCATACATTTAGGCACAAAAAAGAAAAATAGCCATAATTTATTCAAGTTACGTACCTAATTTGCTTGAAATAAAATTTGTTCGTTGTGAGTAATTAAAATAGAGTGAATTGAAATAAAGAAAATGGAGGAGATGATCACTTTCAATTAGATTAAAACAATTTTTAAATACAAAGGGTTTTCATGGAAATGTATAACAATCTGATAACTCGAAATAATTACCAAAAAGCTGTAGCAAACGAAATAATTTTTTATTATGCAAACAAAGTCAAAATGATAAAAACCACTTGGGCTTTGACTTATTTTAGGTTTCGCAATTAAGAATTTGATTGCTGTAACTAGAAAAAAAATATATAAAAATAGATATGTGTATGTTTAGTCTACTGTTCTAGCATTTTTATGACACCACCAAAGAAAGAAACTTTCCACACACGGATTGCGTCAGAACTGAAAAGATATATCAGTATTTGCATAAGACTTAGACGGCAGTACCAATAAAACTGAACAGAAGCGAAAAAACGTTACGGACATACATAAATGTCGGTGAAACCCGACACACGCCTCACAGAAACATATTATATACATACAATTTTATTTATTTGCAGAGTTTGTTTCCTATGTAGTTAAGAGACTGAATTTATCTGATTAAATAATATTTTTATACGATTTTGTACTTACGCATGATAAACGCTCGACTAATGATCTGGTTAATAAGTCTTTTTAAGCAGAAAAATCTGCAAAATTATTATCACTTTTCATAAAATTTCAGTTCAGTAGCTTCACAGCCGCAGCGCTGTTAAGAAGTGCAAATTTTGTTTTGACTTCCTGCAATTATTCTCCGTGATATTTGTAAATAAGATTATCGCAGTTTACTTAAAATGGTGTTAAATAGGAAAACTTCAGGCGTGCCAAAATGTAAGTAAGCACACGATTGCTCTCTGAAGCAAATATTTAGGTATAGAATTGCATGTAGAGGAAATAACAAATGTTGCTCATACGCCATGGCACGCGACTAACTGTCTGTAACTGTGTGTGAAAGTGATTGACTTTAATAATAGAATACTGATAGTAGCTGATATTTAAGAAAACAAAATAAGCTAATTTAAAGATAATATAACGCTAGAGTGTATTTTAAGCACTCTCAAGCCTCAAAATTATTTTTACGTAATTATACTTGATAGTATAGATAAATCTTGATCTCTTTAGATCTCGTCTAGTATGGGATTTCGCGATTTTTGTGGTCTAAATAGACTCAAAACACACGTTCTAGAATGGTTTTTGACTATTTGGAAACGAAAAATGTGTATGCTGTCGAGTCAGTTCTGAGTTACCCTTCCTCCTTTGAAGTCCATACTGAAAGTTCATTTCGATAATAAGTCAATTAACTTAGTACGCATCTTATATCCTTTAACCTAAAAAAAAATGTTTAATCAATGATACCACAATTGTGGGCAGGATTCCATTCTTGGATTCCTAATATTTTTTTGACGGAAATCGAATAAATATCAACAAATTTTTAAATAACAGATAATGTCAATTTTTATAGATATCAAATGACGGAGAGCTTGCTGGTTTTAACAAAAATATCACACTTTTTTTGTAAATTGGGTGAAAATTTCTTCAGATATTCAAGCTAATTTTAAGATAAAGAAAGTCAGAAAATGTTTCAAGTCTTTCGTCTTGAAAATAAAGATCGTTTTATTAACCATTGAAAACCTGCAAATATGCACTAAAATCTTAAAGCTTTTGACAAGCTTTGAAAAATTGATGTGATGTAACAGACTCAAAAGGGACATGTTTTTATATGAAAGCTAAATAGAGGTCTATCTTTTAATACTTTGCAATGATAGAATAGCTAAGTTTGACTCTTTAGATTGTAAGAAAAATTATTCCTTTTTCAAATGTGTTTCTTTTTTTTATTATCTACAGTACTCGCGCCCACCTTCGGAAGACGCCATTTGCAATGTTTCATGATATGCATCGGCTTCTCGGCCGCCTTTGCGATGCGCGTCAATCTCTCTGTAGCCGTTGTGGCAATGATGGATAACAAAGCCGCCAACCCAGACTTTCCCGTAAGCATAATTGAGTCAAGTTGATTATGTGATTTTTCTCTAATCTATTCTAGGAGTACCAATGGTCGGAGAAAACCAAATCACGTATACTAAGCAGCTTCTTTTTGGGCTACATGATCACGCAGGTACCTGGTGGTATGCTGGCGCGTCGCTTAGGCGGTAAAATATTGTTATTGCTGAGTTTCTTCATAAGCAGTGTGCTAGCGTTGCTCACACCATGGGGTGTAAGTTTAGGCGGCTGGAAACTACTGTGCAGTATACGCTTCCTACAAGGTTTGGGACAAGGCACAACAATGCCCGCAATACATACACTCGTCGCGAAATGGTCGCCGGTAGAGGAGCGTAGTTCACTCTCAGGTTACTGTTATTTAGGTGCCCAATTGGGTACGGTCGTCATATTGGCTTCAAGTGGTGTGCTGGCTTCTTCCAGTCTCGGTTGGCCAGGTCTCTTCTATATACCTGGCGTTGTGGGTCTCTTATGGTCTGCGACGTGGATCATTTGGGGTGCCAATTCACCGGATGAATGTCGTAGCGTGAGTGCAGCTGAGCGTGCGCTTATTGCAGAATCACTGAATATGAAGGCGAAGCAAGAGGAGGGTAAGCGACCGCCACCTGTGCCATGGCGCAAAATCTTTACATCGCTGCCTTTCTTGGTCACACTACTATCACATTGTGCCAATTCGTGGGTATTTTGGACGCTGCTCACACAAATACCATCGTATTTGAAGAGCGTGCTCGGAATGGATATCAAAAGTAATGCTCTACTCTCGGCGCTACCTTATTTCACAATGTTACTTTTGGGTATGGCTTTCTGTCCGCTGGCCAATTACTTGGAGAAGAGCAATCGCATTAGTGCCACAACTAGTCGGAAACTGTTTAACTCGATTGGTCTGTGGGTGCCAGTCATAACGCTGATTTGGTTGGGTTACATGACGCGCGAACAATCTGATTTAGCTGTTATTTTACTGACATTTACAGTGGGCATGAGTGCGGCTACGCACTTGGGCTTCCAAGTCAATCATATTGATTTGACGCCAAATTTTGCTGGCACCCTCGTGGGCTTAACAAATTCAGCGTCACAAGTCGCAAGCAGTATAGCGCCACTGCTGGTGGGATATGTCGTCACAGATACGGTTAGTTCTTTACATTTCTTGTTTTAATTGTCCTATTTAAAATATTATTTCTTTTTTCATTTCACAGACAAATCCTGAACAGTGGCGCGTTATATTTTTCATAGCCGCCTTCATTAGCTTCATCGGCAATCTGCTCTTCGTGTTCTTCGGTACAGCCAAAGTGCAATCGTGGAATGATGAGCAAACGGAGAAGGTCTATGAATTGAAGCCACTTAATCAAGTAGTCATTAAAGAGTCCAATGGAAAAAAAGAAATTACGAAATAGGCTTATAATAAGACTTTAACAGTTATTTAGTTAAAATAAAATTCTTAATAAGATACTAAAGTTTATTTTTTGTTAATATTTAATCTTTGAGACCAGTAAGGAAGACTGCATTGGTATATCCCTATCTAAATTCTTAATTTTTTGGGTTTACGGTTTAGGTTAGGTTAACTTGAGTTCACGAATAATCTCACTTGGACAGCTGGAAACGCCTGTCCGTTGTGATGCCCAAAAGTCGAGTCCCTTGAGCTTGCCACAAATTTATTGAGGCATCTAATATTAACTCCAGCCAGTTAGCCTGGTTAAAAAAATGTATAGCAACGGAGATGCTTCAACTGCAGCTGGCTATTTTTCGCCAGCCGTTAAGTCCACTGACTAATAAATGGAAAGATACTAACGCCATTCTCTAGTTTTCTACAAATTTTTGTGTACGCACGTGAAACTCTATTTCAGGGCCATATGAATATCAATATTATTGAACTTATTCTTTACGTCTCTTTTATTTTGGATCTAATCACTTAATTCATCTGGATAAAGTCGAAGAGGGGTGTTGGCATATATTTTTAATTTCAACCCGTTAAAATACGGATTTTCTTACTAGAAGAAGAAACCCACATCTGTGGACAGTAAGAGCTTATGGCTTGCTCTACCTAGAAACCTAGACATTATAGAGCATAGTATAATGAAAAGCATAAACGGGTAGAGAACAGAGAACTATAGCAATATTTGAGAAGACAGATTGATTTTAATCGAATTTCTAAAGTTGTTCCATTTTCAAGGCCACGACTGTATCGAAATATGTGCGCGCCAATAAGTAGGCAACACTTTTGTTTCAGTATTTTCGACAGCTGATGGTCGGTCGTACCGTAGCGCAAAACATAAAATCTTTAAACAACATTATTATTTGTTTCAATATATATATAGAATAAATATATGCTACCAGCTAGCTTTCAATATGACCCACCAATTATGTACGTGGAGAGATGAAGTAAGGCTAATCGGGTTGAACATTTAACTCATTTTTCCTCTTTCCTCTCTTACTTGTTGAGCAATTCCAAGATTGCTATCACGGCATTTTTTTACTGATAAAACCTGACCAAAGTTTTTATGATACTGATTATATCACAGTATTGGCATTTAACATAACTAAAAATTGTTCAAATTTTGTTACTTTGACTGTCAGGAAAGTTGTTGAGTAGCGAATCGAAGAAACAACTTGCGTATTTCCGATAAAACGCCATAAACAAATGAAGATCAATAGAAACCACCTTAATGCGTCTCTCTTGAATTGGATAATTTATAACTATAAAACTACTTTGATATTTTCACTGCCTCACCTCGTTTTATTAAAAAATTATATAAAAATGTAAAAAAGCGGTGATCATTTTCCTAAGCAAACATTTCTGTGACATATATTTTTTTTAATTTTTTAGGCAAACAAATGTATTTGGTTAATCACAGTATTTCTTTGCGTATCTTAATTATCAATAAAAATTCAATCAATATTTTTTGCGTCACATATTGGCATGTCATCGAGGGAGTGAATTGTTTAAATCATTAATCAGCTACTCTGAGACTCATCAAAACTTCTAGTTTGAATTAAGACCCACACAGATATTGTAAGAGAAGCGTGGAAAAGTAGCTGTATATATAGCTATATGCTTGGCTATAAAATAACTCAATTCAATAACTAACAATCACACGTGATATTCAAAGCTGAACTTTGCTTTCAATCTTCCATAAAACGCGTATATAAAACCATATGTACATAAAAAACAAGCTTAGCAACAGCTAGAAATATATGAAAACTGATTTTTAAGTTCATAGCGATTTACATATTTATAAACATATAGTATATCTACCCGGTACCCGGTAGTAAAATATCAAAGTTTACAACTAGTATTCACTTATGTCAAACTAGTCACAAAATTTTTAAGGCACACAATAGACGCAACGGACTGCCAGCAACTTTAACTTGTTCTCATAATGCAACATAATCTTTACCGGAAAGAAAATTAGCGACAATGTAGAGATATGCGGCGAGACTGGAAGCTACTTTGTAGCAGAAGGCAAACTGTATTGCTAAAATTATGTAAAACTAATAGAATATCGGTTAGATCGGAGTATTGTCATCGAATGAATTTGTTTTTGAATTTCTTTAAAAATATATGAACTTTGCCGCCTGTTATACACTAACTTGTTGGGAGATTGGTTCGACAAGGGAGTATCGTTATGTCGGCTTATATATAGGTATTTTATAAATAAAAAACATGGAGAACTTGAAAGAAACCCAATTCAAAATAACAATAAACGTTAACTTCGCTGTGCCGAAACTATAATACCCTACACAAGGGCATTTCAAATAGTGTAAAATATAATAAAAATGAATTATCACAGCTCGTTATGCTAATAATTATATATGTACTTATATACATATGTATGTTATTTTTCTAGGTGTTACGAATTTCGTGGCAAACTTAATATACCCTAATTAGTGTATACAAATCCTGAATGTATAAATTAAACTAGGCAACTACATATGTACATAGTATATTGAACCATGAAACCGGTAATTTCTAAACAAAATCTGAATATTGACAGTTTCTGAGACTTCTATATGTAAGAAGTATCATCTGCTGGTAAGGAAAAAAGAAAACACCTGACTTATTACATCACAGTTCATTTTAGTTGCATGGTAACCTAGGTTGTAACTAGATGATTTCATCACAGGGTACATAAGAGTACAAGAACACAAATACAAAAATATTTTCGTAGTAAACTCAGCTGATAAGTAAGTTCAACTTAATAATATATACATATTTTATAAAATTTATTTGATTAAAAACTAATAGCTAAAACAAAACTACAGTTGATACGAGTGGTTGTGCGTCAAGTGCTCAATTTTTAAATATAATACAAAAATTGTGTAAACATATGCAAAAAACTAAATATAAATATTAATTTATTAATTAATATAAACTAGAACTAAAAAAAAACAATTGAGTGCTCAGAAATTAGCTGTCCCGCCAGTATTCACAACAAGCGCTTATCACTGAATATACTCGTATCAGGCATAAAAGATTTAGACCCCTGTCTATAATTTTGTTGTCTTCATCGCGTGCGTGAAAGGACGGCTTTGTCTGTCGTTGACACTGCCACATTGTCTATTCCGTGATTTGTCGATGGTGAAAATTCGTACAAAATCGTGTCAGTTGCCTAATGCTCAACGGCACAACTTAATATTCATTACGAGTATAGCGTTAGTGGTTACGAGGTAGCGTTAGTGCGCGCTATGTGATCGGTTTTTGTTGATTTTATGGCGATGGTGAGTTAGCGTTAGCGTATTTAATCTAAAAAGCATGTACATACATACATATATTTATTGAATATTCACTGAAAGTCATTCAAAAAACCAGTCTTCGCAATCGTTTTATTGAGAGTTTTCGCTTTAATTTGTATTTGTTGTCTATTTCGTGCATGAGCTTTATTGCTCTTTATAACCCATTAAAAATTAAATAAAACCTCAAATTTGATAATAATAAATATAATTTATTTTCAGATTTTTATTTTTATTTTTGTTGCTTCGGTGATTCTGCCAACTCGTGACGGCATGATGAATAAAAAATTTTCGAATACTGTATATTTATAAAAAAGGGGTATTGCACTAAAATGGTTTAAATAATATGTGATTATGTATTTGTTCGTGAAAATAAATATTAACACAAAAATATAGGAGTCGTCAAAAGTGGTAGTCATTGGTTATGAGTTGCGAATCTAAATCAATAAAAAGAGGATTTCTACAGACTACTTAAGACATAAATGAATGACCCAAATGACTGATTAAAATTTCGACAAAATATTTTTATGAGAATGCGTTTCATAAATAAAAATGCTAGACGTATTTATGTTTGTAGAAAATATAGTAAATAAAATTGGAAATATACTATTTTTTATTTCTCTATCAATTGGAATTTTAGGGCCTGAACGGATCGGCTTGATTTATATGGGCTAAAAAGAAATTAAAATTATTTAGAAGTACACTTTGTCAAATACAATTGAAAAATTTTATTAAAGTGGTCAATAGTGTTGAAATCAACTATCGCCTTGACTATGAAATATTGCCATAGAAAGGAACGTTTACGAATTTTCGACACACGAAGTAAGGTAGCCAGTGCAAATATTACAATTTTCTATTTTGCAAATGTAAGGCAGGATTCGAAAATTGAAGGATTCTGACTTCGGTTAGATCAGCTCAAATATAGTTATCGATAGCTTATAAAATCGTGCATTTTATTTAAGAATATCTAACTTTAAATATAATTTCTTTTTTCTGTCCTAATATTTTATAAAATTTTGAGATTCTGTTACGTCCTTTAATTATGTGACAACTCTGTTGTAGAAAAGGGTACAATTAGTTTGAACATCTCTTACACCTCATATGCCGAATATACAGAATATAGAGAGAGATCCTTCTATTTGAATTTAAACTTTTTTGTCAAAACTACATTTTTCAAATTTGCTTGAGTGATTACTCGGAGACTAATGATCGGATCACTATCAAACTTTTTCTGCATGTTCTGTAAACATACAAGTATAGTTCTCCATAAAACGACCAACCAGAGCTAATACATTGATTTGATCAAAAGTCGAAATTTGGCAGGCCAAAAACCACCAACACTCTGGGTTCAACTTTTTTACGACTGTAGGTATTATACGGACCATATTATCTATTGAGAATTTTTTTGTAGATTTCTTTCACTAATCAGTGGAGATCTTTTTTTAGCGCCGTAAGAAATCGCGTGTAAATCGAAAAATATTTAATATTTTTCTTAAAATATTACTGTGTATCTTATAATATGTATAGATGTGGTATACTCTTTAAAAAATTTTAAAATAATTGATACAGTAGTATAATAACTGCAGAGATTACAAATATCAGTTCTAACACCAAAGCGTAAAAAATACTATGTGAATGGATACAGATTCCGGGAATCGCCTTTATGCATTTGACTTACTC